CCAAAAAATCTGGATCCAGTACCTAGCTCTGTTAGCGACTTCATATGAATGGTTTTAACTTCTTGGGGTTATTTAGAAAGAGGAATGTCTCAGATTTTGTCACAAAATCATTTAGAAATTGAATATATTCTTGTTTGAGATGCTGTCAGAGGGCTGTTGTAAATCAGTATTTGTTGTTGTGAATAACGATACATACGTACAGGTCAGTATGTGCCTTTGGAAAATAGTGTTTCAGTACATCTGGAATGTATTATTGAAACTGGACACTAAAAGTACTTGATCAGGTATTTCTTTTTAGTGTAATATTTAGTTTAGAAGTTAGCATAATGTGCTTTAATTAAATTGCCTCCTTAACAATGTCCTTGATTTTTCAGTTTAAATTCTCTATAAATGTTTTTATCTAGTCCTTGTACCTCTAAAAATGTCATGGTTGTAAACAAGAGTCTTGGCTACGTGATGAATGATCAAGTATTGCAGTTGTCTGAGCACAAAATTTCAGTGGAGTCTAAAGATAGAATCGTCTCTTGTATCTATTCTTTGGCAGAGAAAGAGGGTGATTGACAAGAAGTACAGTATATGAAAGAACAGTTAAAAACACAGACACACTGACATTATAATACAGTGTCTCATCGGATGATGTGGTGTTTTGACTACATGGCTGCAGCGGGTCTATAATTTAAATGCCATTAATGGCAGAAGAAGCAATAGCATGGAGACAGGAATACTGTAAAATCTCTGGGTCTGTACTTAAAATGCAGATAAAATAACCCCTTGAACTTGTGGTGCCAAATGTTGTCCAAAGTTACCATTCTTCCATGAGGAAAGCAGTTTTTGTTTTTGTGGGGTTTTATTTCTTCCCCTTCTCCTAGCACAGCCAGCCATTTCTGTTTAGATTGCCTGAGATCTTTGTAGCAATACAAGCCAAGCAAAGGGAGGCTGCTTGTATTTTGCCTAACCCATGTCCAGTTCACACATTCAGTACAGAATTCGCTATTGTGAATAGTCATGACTATGTTTTCTTTGTGCTCGTTGGCTTTTGAATGTGCTTCTTTATACTTTGACTAAAGTGGCACACAGAACTAATTTCACCAGAAGCTATTGGTGTTTAGCTGTAACAGAGTTACACAGAGTCCTGTGACTGCATCCCAGTTATAATATCCCATTTGTTTCCACTCTGCTGTTGTAATGTTCCCTGCCTTTTAGTCTTGTTGTCCTTCACTTTGCTCTCCTTTTTTCTTTTCCTTTCAATTTTAAATTATAACTGACTTTGTTTTGCTTATTGGACTTAACTGTGGGTAAAGCACATGTTTCTGTACCCTCACGGAAGCCAGACATTTAATGCACCTTAGAGTAATGTATGCTGTAATTGTTTGCCAAATTGGACTGAGTCTTTCCAGAAACAATTCCTGATCTTTGAGGACCTTGCAAAATGTGTACAATATGTTAATTGTGAAGCATTTTTAAAGTATGTATTTCAAAAGAGGAAAAAATGCTGTGTAAGTGAAACTTGTTTAAAGTACTCCCCCATTTCTAGCAGGAGACGTTATTGCTTTACGCTCTTGTTAGAATGCAAACAAAAGAATGAAGCCTTTGTAAATTGCATGTAGACATTTTTTTCCTTTAGACTTGTTCATTGTATACAAGTCTGGTACTAAACAAGGTATACGTTAGCTGTTTCCAATTTAGGTTAAGTACATGGATTCTTTTAAAATATTCACACTGGGCTAACATTTCAAATCCAGTTTATGTTCTCTGAATAAATCAAAACTAATATTTGGTATTTGCTAAAGAGATGGGGAAGTGGTTTCAGAAAAGCTTTCCTTTTTTTGTTTTAAAAACAAGCCTCAAATTCCAAGGGTGCTAAATATGTGTGCTTATGTATGACTTTCTCTTCTCACTTAAAAACAAATCACACCTAAAATTCTGTGCATATTTCTCTACTAGAAAAACAATGAAATTGATCTATTTTATATTGCTGAAGAAAAATAAGGCTATGGCATTAATTTACCCTGAACTTGAGTAGAATTTACTTACTGAAAATTTTCTTTACTTAGAGTCTGCAATTCATGGTTACCTCTTTGAAGCAGAGTCTTTCAAATCTGCGCTCATCCAAATGGCTTTCTCCCGATTCTGTGAATTTATGTAACTGCTCAGGTTCTTTCAAAATCTAGTACTAGAATATGCTGAACAAAATCCTATGACTGCTTTGATTGTGGAAGGAATCTTGATTAGAACAGTCAATAAAATGCACAAAGGTATATTGGCCAAGTGAAAGCAGCTGTCTGTGTTTCTTCCCTTCTGAATATTAGTGAAAAGGTTTTTGCTTAAACCACTCTGCATGGCTACTACAATCAGTACTTTTTAGTTTTGGCAGGGGGCGGAGGGAGCTCTTCAAAGAAATGTTTAGTGGCTTTAAATAAAGTTGCTTTGTCAGTAAGTCCAGGAATTTTAACTGGAAATTACACCTGTAAGTAATAAATCTGGGAAGGTTAAGTTTATAGAAAACTTCTAACAGCAAATGCAATGGGAATAACCTTGGAGTATGTTGGGGGGACTGCACATTTTCTGTCTTCTCTCTTGTAGAAATGACGGTTTTCTTTGTTATTGTTCAGAAGTGTCATGAGAAAAGAAGAAAAATTAATTCTTGGGCTACAGGTATTGAGGAAAAACCTGGCTTTCCTTTATTTCCTCTTCCTCTATTTGTTGCTAGTTTCTTCTTTCACTGCCATGCCAATGTACTTATGCCTCATTTTTGGCTAGAGTTTCACTTTTTGCTTCACAGAGCAAAAGAAATCAAATGCAAACAGAAATGAGAACTACTGTTAGCTCTTACTGTAGGTTTTCTTCTCCTTGCTATCACAATGGAAGCATTACTTACAAAATCCTTTTTGATTAGTGTGATTGCACTTTTTCTCACTATGGCTAGTCATGGTAATTAAAAGAGCATAGCATGTACCCACTGCTGAAAAATTGTGCAACTCAAGTAATTATAGGTCTGACTTTGTGCGCTAAACTTCCCAAATTCTGTGTTTTGCAAACAGACTTGTGTGTCTGTGCGCATAGTTCAGTTTATCATGTGCAACTTATGCAGATGTGCATTCTACAAATGTGAATTTTGGGTAAACTTTTGCATATTTTTCTTTTTCCGTGTGAGATAAAATGAACAGAAGTACCTCTACAGTGAACAAATTTACATATGTCAAATGCTGAAAAATAGTGTTGAAGGTGACTGACTACTTGAAAATGCATAGATTTTTGCTCGTTTTGTTTTTGAATAATAATGGTTTCTTAGCACCCATGTTGCCAAGAGCTTTGTTTGTAGGCTAGTGTCTCCTTTCCCAAATTATTGAAACCCATAGAAAAATAAGATTTACCTAGAGTTTAATTACCTTTGCTGAAATCTCCTTCAAGCTAGTAGAAGTGTTTATAAGAAGAGTAAGTCTGGAAGAGCTTAGGAGTATCGTAGCAGCTGCTCCCAAACCGAAGTGCTAATACCTGTGAAGGGTCACAGACTTTGAAAGAAAAGCCTGGTGTTTTCACATCGTGGATGTAGTCTTCAGCTATTTAAGTTACAACTTTTTCTAGTAGAAAACTTAGGGTAAATGATGAAGAAAAAAATTACAGCATCTTTCTCCCTATACTTGGCCTTCATGTTCTTCATACTGCTCAGAGGGATTATGTATAAATATTAGAAAACTATTGTAACAGCATAATCAGTGGGGAAAATTATCAGTTTCTGAGAAGTGGAGAAATACATTCTAAGTAACTAAAAGTCTCATCACTTAACTAATAAGTTTGAGAGCATTTGGTGATGCTGGGAAGGTGTGCATGCATTCCACACAGAGCAGACTGATAATATTTAAGTACTATCCGGTACATGTAGTCCTGCAGGAATCAGCAAAGATAAATGAATAATAATGAAATATTTAGTGAGCCACAATCCCCTCACTTAACTGAAAAAAAAGTGTGGGTGAAGTGTGCATGTGTGCTGCAGAAAGCTAGAGAGGGTGTGAAAGGTACTTATACTATTCTTATAGGAAGAAGTTAATCTTGCCTGGCTTCATTTACCTGATAAAGACCGAGATTGTAAGTGGTCATTTTCCTGTCATATAACAAGGTTTTGTTGAAGGTAAATGAGTAATTTTTCTTATGTTTATTGCCAGAAAACCTTTGCAAGGAATAATGTGAAAGCAAAAGATAACTTGAAAGAAGTAGTGGCTAGAATTTTTCCAACCTGTTTTTTACTTTCCTAAAAGTAAGATCAAAACATCTGTTAGTGAAAAAACTCTCTTAGTGTTTTTGGTTTTAAAACAAACAAAACACGAAACATCTTTAGGTTTAGCACTACTTAAGAAATAATTTCTTGACTTCTGAAATGAAACCATTCTCCATGCTCAACTGTGTTTTAAATACAGAATGAACATGCACAATGTCTCCATGTCATGCAAGCATATGATATACTCAGGTAACTTTTCTAAAAATAATGCTTTGAACACAAGTAATCCTTCAAGAAACTTTTCTAAAAGCCCTGCATGTATTCTGTAACAACTAAAACCTTGAGGAGAGCACAGTTCACTTCCTGATGTAGCAGTGTGCTCCCAGCTGCCATCATGAGAGCAGGATCCCAGATGTTCCTGTTTTGCTGTATGGAGTGCTGCTCTAACTGTTGGACAGCAAGGATGTGATTTGACAATCTGATAAGTTATATCTGTTGAAATACTTTCAGTATGGCTGTAATGATGTGGGTTAAGCATGTGAAATAAACCATTACATTGGGAAGCAGTCTTTTAAATGTATTCATATTACTCAAGTGAGTGCAAGCAGTAGTTAAGTTTGAGCGTATAATAACAGCGTCTTGAATCCCATGTAAGGGAAGAATTGTCTTGTACCTAACGAGACATAACGTAGAAAAGACAATGATCAAAACCTTCTATTCATCATGCTACTTGCTTTAGTTGCGATTACATTGTGTACATAAAGGAGAATTTAAACCCACTTACAGAAGTGTATCTAGATGTTCAGCTCCAGTGTTTCTCCCACTCTGTTCTTACAGGACTCTGAAAGCTTAAAGTTTGAAAAAATGTGAGAACAAGACTAACAGTGATTTTTTTTCCCTATTTTTTAGCAGCATTTCAGAACATGTTCTACCATGGTTAAATGCACATGTGCTCAAATTCCTTTATGTTCCTGTCTGGGCTGGGAGCTGGTCCTAGGTTCATTCCACACCTAATTATCCCATTAAATATTATGGATGCTCTTGTGGATTTTGTTTTAAACTATTTCTTCAAATCATTTACATGACTTGAAATGCCTTAGTAGGCAGCTGGTCAATGGCAGGAAGTTTTGTAGGTGTTGTCACTTGTGTAGATGTTTCTAATGGTAGCTTCATATGTTATCTGTGGATACAGAACAGTATGGGAAAGTGGAGGTGGTGGTGGGGCACAATTAACCTTATTTTTATCTCCATAAATAAAATTTGGAGAGGTATCAAAGGGGAGGGAAAACTTTTATTTTGGAAACTGTGTGAATAGTTTCTTTGCACGGGCTCTCCCTGTTCTTTTTTTCTTGGACGTTCTGTGCTATGGCCTGTGATGATACATAGCTCTCATCTTACTGGGAAATCTGCACCTCTTAATCCCAAGGATATTAATCATGAGCACCATGAGTTTAAGAAGGATCAGAAAACCCAAACCAAATAAATCACAACATCAGACCATTGTCTATTAAAGACCTTTGTCTACTAAATCATGACACAATACCGTTAGTGGTGCTCTGAAGAAAGCTGAAAATTATTTTGAGATGAGGAAGCTTTAATTTACTTTTAATTTTTTGAAAAACTGAACTCTTCCTATTTACTATCTAGTGAACCATGTAATGTTGAGTAAGATTCCGCTGTCTTAGTCAATTTTGAATCATACTTATAAAAAGCATGAGTTCTGGCTGTTGTACCCGTGTCAAGAAGAAGGGGGAATCCTCTGTGGAAGTATTCCTAGAAACTGCCAAAAAGGCTCACTGAAGGTTTTGTATCCATAGCCCACCTAACAGGATAACAGCAATGTAGTCAAAACTATGAAACACAGCATGGACTCATCACCTGAGAACTGAATCTATAGTTTGCATTGCAGTTCATGGTCTGTTAGCACCTGAAGGGATTAGTTCAGTTTAAAGGCTGGATTCACGTGCTGAGGTCACCAGCCCTGGATCTTTACTTTGTCTTTAAAGGTGCATGATAAGAATTGCACTCTTCTGCACTGACTTTTATGTACATATAGCGAGCTAAGTTTCAGAATAGCTGGGCTAATGAGGTTTCCATCTGCCTCTCCCTCAAACAGAAATGTCTAATGTAAACAAAAAACTATTTTTTTAAACTTGCTAGCTTAAAGACAGGAGGATGAAACATGTATGTATTTATGCTTCCTAAACTCAGCCTTTTAAATCCAGGATACTATCAATTCCTTCCAACTTCATGTCAGCTGCACACAGTCTTCCATTGTAGAGGAATCATGCTTTACAAGAAATGTGGTTTAGGGGCTCAATCAGTTGGGAATCAAGGGACCTCTTTTATCTTCCTAAATTGTATGGCCATTTCTCTTTTGTCTTCATAATCCTCTTAGCCTGTAAACTGCATTTTTAAACAAAATCTAGTAAAACAGGGTCTTGATTTCAGGTGTAATCTATTATTGTAATGTATTATTGCAACAGAAATTTGTAATTGGTATTGTGATTAATCCCTGCCAACAGTATAGAGCTCAGCCTTCAAGATGAGAGAAATGGAGACGGAGATTCTCAGATTTCTAGAACCGTACTTTGTTGGAGAGGTTAGCGTGGGCTTAAGAATATGGAGAAAAGGATCTTTTACGCCTTTTGGGTACATCGAGTTGGATATTCACTTTGCTTTGTGATCTAGTATTATTAGTAAATGTTCAAGCAAGCCTGGAGGCATTTCCTAAATGAGGCTGCAACTGTATAGCTTTTAAACTCAATTAGCCGCCTTCTAGTTTCTGCATACTGCATCAATTATAATAGAGTTTAGTTGGCTGCGTGAAAAAGGGAAGGTGGGGGTCCCTGTAAGGGTCCCCCTATGCAGCCCCCTTTATGCCTGTAATGCGGTGGGACTGCTGCATTTTGCGTGGCCCTTTGGCAGCTGCAGGTACTGCGGCTCCAGAACCTCAACGTGTAAATTGCATTTAAAGAGGGGCTGCTGGAAAAAGTCATTCACCGGCAAAGAACAAAGTGAGTTAGCTTTCACTACCTGATGTGAGACCCTCTCAGAGTAGAAAAAACACTGAACTTTGCAGTGCTTTGTGTAGGATTGACGTGATGGGTTCACTCAGTGTGAAGTTCGTGCACACAGTGATCTTCTGAGGCTTGTGGTCTTTTGTAAAATGCAGACCTGTGATAGGATTATTTTTTCAACTATTACTAATACAAAAGTGTCCTAAGAAAACTGTTATGCACAGAAAGGCCAGCAGACTGGAGTGTATTTCACAAAGCAGAACAGATAGTTACAATTTAAAAATAAAACAACAAAAATGAAGACAAAATACCTGCCTCAAGGAAAAAACCTTTTGTTAGGGTTCAGGCACAAGAAAATACTCGGCATGTTTTGAACAGTACTTCTATAACATGCTTTTGTTGGATCGCAATCTTCTCTTTCTCCTGTTTGATCTAAAAGTCCAACTGTGTTAATTTAACAAATTAATGTAATGCATTAAGCTTGTAATATGATTAAAGGTATTACTAGAACTTTGTAGAGCATGTTTTTTCTCATTATTTTAGTTTTTCCCTCTCATTTGCAGATGTAAACAAAACTGCAACTACATCTGGTTGAAAATTTAATCTGTTTTTTCCCCTATGGGGAAAACCAAAGATGTCTTAAAGAAACACTTTTCTGTGCACGTTTTTCTGGGAAGCCCTTTTGCGTGAGGAGAAGAAAAAAGACCCCTTGCTGCCCCAGAATGGTTGATAGCCTGATGTTTTTGGTGTGCCTCTGGAATGTTAAAGCTCTGTTATTTTTGGAGAAAGGCCTGGAAAGCTGGGTTTCCAATACTGTGTGAAACTCCTAACTATCAAACTACTATCTATCTGCAAAAAAAATCATGTTGCCTAGGTTTTCTCCTCCTCTTTCCTTTGCCATGATCTACTTCCCCCAAAGCAAATAAAACAATTTACACATACCTTTCTTTATGCTAACACAGAACAAAAACTTACCCAAACCTCTTTTCATCTTTTTCTGAAATAGAGATCTTCCTTTCTAATCAGCATTAACAGTAATGCATAGATCTGTTCTCTATCTTGACTAGTGAATAAGACTATAATAAAGATGTAGGACTATAATAAAGATGTAGAGTTATTGGCAATGAAGAGTCAGGACTGTACATGTATGGTGAGAGGCTAGATGTAACTGAAGAGCTTTGTTTGGAGCAATGGGAAATTCTTGCATTTAGTTGACTGAGCCTTGCATGGAAGCATCTTGCTGTCCATGCGGTCATGTATGTACTTGACATTCTGCTCTATTTGTGCATGGCGTAAACTAGAATTAATGCAGTCAGTGTGAGGGCTGCTTAAAATACAAAAGCAAACAATACAACAAACATGCAGGTGTGAGGACCAAATCCTGGTAATGAAACCAAAGGAGCCCTTCATGGAAGAAAAAGAAGTCCATCTGATTCATCTGAATCCCTCTCTTCAGTTCATACAAAAACTTGTAAAACCTCACTTTTATTGTTGGCTTCTATAGTGTTTTTTCTGATGTATAAATTCTAACTGCAGTCAGTAAAGTCTTTCAAAAGATTTTGCATGCATGCTAAGATACTATTATTTTTAAGGTACTTTAACACAGGTATGTCTGATTTCTTGAAAGCTTACGTCACTGGGGAAAAAAGGTGATGGTTAGATCATGCTTGCATAGGATTCACCTCATTTTTGATACTTAATGTCCTTCTGCTTAGTTTTTATTACTAAGGCTGCATCTTTGAGTGCACTTCTAAATCATTACGCTACAAAAAGAAACATACTGCTGTCCATCTCCAGATGGGTTTCCACCTTATTTAAAGACTTTTTTTCTTTCAAAAAGATTATTTTTTAATTACATTCTGCCTACTTTCCATACGTGCTGCTCTTCATTTTTAATTTGAAGGAACAAGAGAAGGTAGCACTGGAGCATACTTGGTCTTACTTGAAACATTTTGGTCTTTATTTAAAAACTCACAGTACTGAAGCTTTCTCTTAAAAGGCTGCTGCGACATTCAAATGTTTGTTGGCTGGACTTGAAAGTGTGCTTAGGGTACTGTTTAGAAAAATTTAGTGCCCCGTAAGTGCAATACACAATAAAAGGAAGTAATGTTCATGACCTATTGTGTGGATTGCTGCAAACTGCTTTTCTCTTAAAGCTTTCAGCTTGCTGACCTGGAGAAAAGTTTTTTTTCACATTCTATTCCAGTTACCTATGTGAAATTCTTCTTTTAGGTCTTTCTTGGTTTAGGTCTTGGTTTTTCTTTGACCCACTTTTACAGTTTTTAGTGCTGACTGTTTAACGTGTGCAGTGAACAGCTGTGCTACTGAGTTTCTGCAGATGTTGTGAGCCAGTATGATTTTTAAGTGCTTCTGTGGTGTTCTGTCATGACAGCCTTGATACAGGAAAAAGAAATCATACTTAGTCATGGGTGTCTTTAAATGTCCTGACCTAGACCCAAGAAAAAAAAAAAAAGCGTGGTATTTTCTGGCACTCTCTGTTGTGAGCTGTCTGAGATGGTTTTCTTTTGTGGCTCCTAAAGAAATCAGATAAAGTTTGGAGCCATCCAGTAATTGCACGTTCCAAGTTCCTTTTCATATCTACAGCAATCCTGTTAATGTTACCTCTTTTAAAAGCTCTGTTAGTAAATATCACCAGATTAAAGGCTAGATACTCTAGATTTCTACTCTGTAAAAGTCCATTAAATAAACACAGTATTGCTGGCTGACTAACTTCTGAGGTTAATTTCCCACCGAAGGTTTTAGTGGGTTGTTAATGACTATAGGTGCAGCTTTTTTGACTTCCTGATTTTGGGAGTAGTTCGGTTCATCAGATCTCCTCTGTTTTCCTGATTCCTTTGTGTATGAGCTTGCCTTAAATGAGAGCCCTCTCTATGTTCACTGAGTTCAAGATACCTGTTTGCCTGAGAATACTTTAAAGCGTGTTCCACTGTTGAAAATAGTGGTTGTGACACTGCCGTCTTGTATCTATACTTTGGTATAGGAATTTTGTATATTTAAAATAACTGAGTTTATTTTCAAGACAATCACCAAAATACAAACCTTAAAGCTGTTTTGCTGTTTATTTGACTCATAAATTGCACAGTAGGGCTGCACCAGAATTTGGGGAGAGGGATACACATGTTTTGTGCGGTGTCCTAGACCTCTACCTCCCCTCTCCCATCCTTACCATCAAATTGCTATATAATGGGTATACATGCAAGATTTTTTTTTTTTTTTGCATTTGCTGAATAACACTGCCAAGTTTGTCAAGCAGAAATGTAATCAACACTCTACACCACATTCTTTAGTGACTGAGATTGAAAGGGAAATAAACAACACCATCATCAGTACAACTGTTCAAGAGGTGCAATGAAGTGTTGTCCAAATAGTAACAGTACAACCAGGGCTCCTTGGTCCTATTCTCTATTCTGGTGCACAGTGTTATCCTTTTTTGTCCTTTTGCCCCTTCTTTATGCCCCACCGCACAATCTTGTTTGCAGGCCCCTCCCTTCAATGTGGGGGAATTAAAAATGTAAAGATTTAATCTCCACTCCTTAAAAGTACATTTTTAGCCCTCTTCTGTGTGATAAGATAGAATGGAAAGCATAAACTAATGGTAAATGTCAACTAACCACTAGGCTTGAAAAAATTGCAGCTGGCTTCTGTTTATGAAGCACAGAAACTGTGTGGGAGGAGATGCAAAGAACCTCCTCCAATACCCACTCTCACAGTAGGAGGAAAAAAAAAAAACCAACAAAAACAAAACTGTACTGAAGATGGGGTTTAACCTTCAGAATTATTTTGCTGTTCTCTTATGTTCTTACACTTGTATGAAAATGCTAAAAGGCAATCAATTTATTTTGTGTAAAGGCATCAGAAAAAGGCCCTGTGACACCTTAAAGGTGAACTTTGATTCATTTCCGATAAGAAGTAAGGCACCCAATTTTCTTGTATCAATTTTGAATGTGAGTTAAAATATGAATCTCCTAAACATTTTAAAGTGTATTTAATGAACAATTTTTATGGAGAGCTTCAGCATGTCTTAAATCTGATGCAATGTTTCAATGCAGCAACACTATTAATGTTGTTTTAGAGTAGCGTTGAAACGGCGGTGCTTAAATGTATCACACAAATCTGAAATGAAGTGCTTGTTTTGAGTCTGAACAGACATTTGGGAAGTAGATCACATGATATTCATTCATGATGTATAATCTGAGATCAAAAATAGTCCCCAGGTTTATGCTAATATAAATTGAGAGAGATTCTAGTTTCATAACGCCATTTGACATTAAAGCTAAGCTAATGCTTCATGTAACAGGAAGTTCATAGTCCAAACCTGGTATGAGGAAAGGCTAATTTTTTTTAGTAGTATTTGCAGAAATACATTGAACATCCATCACTTTCAGACTTGGAAAACAGAATACAGCTTCAATTTGTTTATGGCACAATTAGTTTTAACTGCTTTTAAAAAGAAGAAAGGTAAATAGACTAGAAAAGGGATCAAGAAAGAAGGTGGCATTTTTTTCTGTTTTTTAATCTGAGACATTGCTATATCTAGCTGATTTTACTGGGCAGATGAAACTGTCCTGTAAGAATGACAAATATTGTTCAGTATGGGGAGATTGTTTTTACATGTTTGACTAACAACTTGCATATGCAAAAAAAATAAATGTTTAGAACTGCATCTCTGTTATTTCACCTGCTCTTCTTTTAGAAGTGTCCTTTCTTGTTTGCTGACAACTCCCACTATGGAATACTTGTCCAAAGACCCAGGAATTATTATTAACTCCCCAAGACGGGGGTGGGAAATTAGAACTGGTGAGCAAAAGCTGGAAGGATACCAGCTGGAGGATATTTGTGACAGATGAGAATAACAGGAAGGGAGGGAGAAAAAGAAATGGTCAGCATTTTTGGCTTTTTAAAAGTGGGGTGCAGATGACTTGCTGTTATGTATTTGCAATGTCTTGTTTCCAGACTGTTGGCTTAGTCAGCCACATCTTTAATTTGTGCAGTCTATAACAGCTGCTTCTGCTCCTACCACAGAGAAATTATAGTTTCCAAGCCTTCATTTCATCCCTCTTACCTATAATACTTGAGTTCCAGTCTGTCTGACCACTTTACTAGGCTTTTTTTTTTAATTAGCAGATCTTTTGGGGAGCCCTTAAGTTTGTTTTGCATATACAGAAACACTAAACAGCCTTGGAAACTCTTGACGAGATGAAATACATCCTGCTGGGAATATAAAATAGCATGTAATACCAAGAATAATGATTTCTGTAACTGAGGTTTTCATGTGCCTTATTAGAAAGCATCATTTATGTGGGGTCTTGTTGAATCTTTTTTTTTTCTTAACAACATTTTAAACCCCATCTCTTTAATTTAGACTCTGCATGTTTTGTTGATTTACCTTTTTTAAAAGGTTTACAGGTATGTTTGAAGTAAATAAAATGCCCAAGATTAATCCCTATCGTTCAAATACATTTGAGTACTCTTAGCTCAAATGTTCTTACTGGATTTGCCCAGGTGAGACAGGTGGAGTTTCATAACAACATCTTCCTTGTACCTGAGACCACTGTGCTGCCTGGTCACTTGGCTGAGGTGACACATTGTTATTAAGTGCTATAAATATCCTCACTTTGGAGAGGTACACATGTAGAGGGTAACGGCTCTCACTGCTGCAAGTATCTTAATATAATTGGAGAAACAGCTTGTTTTAATCACTTCCTAATTGTACAGCATGACCAACTAATCTCTGGGAAGTACCTTGGAGACCCAGTAATATGCTTCATCGACTTCTGGGGAACTGACAGAGAAAGACGGTCGAATTGCCCTCGGCTCACTTTGTTTGCTCTTCTGCAGCTCTGTGATGATTTGTCTAGAAGGCAAAGAAATAAAAGTTTTAGTATTATAGTTCAGAATATATTCACTAGATCAGTTGATAATTGGTCTTGATGTTAGCTAAGGAAAAATAACTAGCATTATAGAGGTCTGATAATATTTTTATACTACTTTTTTATCCAAATTCTTCCTTTGGATTTTCAGTATGTTGTGCTTCAAGCTAGCTCTGAGTGAAAATAGATTATTCAGAATATTAAACAAAAATTAATAATGTGGAATAAGGCTCATATTCAATAATTCAAATATCAAAAATAAGTAGGTCTGTGGTATTTTGCTTCATGATTTTTTTTTTTGGTGAGATTATTCAGAACAACAAAATGACAAGATGAGCTGATTCTTCAGTGCTGCAGATAAATGTTGCTAAGATCTTTTTGTGAAAACTCAAGCCTGTGTGCCCAAACCTATGGTCTTTTGTTCTTGTGGAGCTTACATTTCATTTTATGTCTTAAATACTGCTTAAAATCTCAGAAGTACAGGTCTAAGTATTAGTCTAATCTTTTTTTGTACCATGCACCAATCCTGATGAAATTAAAAACAAAAAACAACAACAAAAAAAAACCCACACAACACCTTGCAGCTCCTCAACAGTTCTAAAAACTGTTACATCTTTAGCCTGCAATATTTGGAGGCACCAGAGGAACAGAGGAACCATGGAATAACTCTCCCCTGTCCTTAAGTGTGGGATGATGGGATCCCATCAGACGATGGGATTCCTGAAGCCTTTTAATTCTTGGTATTCAAGATTGAAAACGCCAAGACTGAAGTAACGAGTTCCTTGTTAAAGCCACTTGCTTATTACATTGAACTCAGCTGAACAAGTCTGGTATCAAGTAAATATGGTATAGATTTGAAAATACTTCTTTTTTAAGGTTTAATATACTTTTCAGTGGTCTAATGATTGCTTTTTGAAGAGCTTGTGGTCTGCAAAATACTATAATTATACAGCATATGCTTTAAAAGACTGGCTTGTAGTATTGACCTTCCTGGAGTTTCATGGGAGACATTTTGAGAATGCCAGATCCATCTTGAGCGTAACTACGCTAACTCTCTTACAATTAATGGAGAAACACGCAAGGCTGAACTCTCCAAACAGCTTTCAAAAATCTCACACTTTTTATGTGTCTACTTTACAGAACGTGGAAAAAAATACCACCCATCAGGGAACTAAAACACAGTACTTTAATTACATAATGCTCATTAATGTTAAATTTTACGCTGAAGGTCTGTATTATATAAAAGCCAACTAAAATACAAGTCTCCTTCTCAAACCCTGTACCATGTATTGCCTGGACATTTGGTCATTAAAATGAACTTGGCTGCAAAGATAGGCGTTAGACAAAGATGCAACATTTCATGTTGACTTCCAACAGCCTTTATAGTTTGAAATAATTTTATTATTTTGATTTTCTCAAATAATATTCAAAAGCATTCAAAGAGAAGTAATGCTAGTTGAGTGAAGAGACTCGCATAGGATGTGAACTCAAGTGACAGTATTTTCAACTGCTGCAGTCCTTTTATAATCTGATATGATTTTAGATTTTCTCTCAAAAGATTTTTTTTAATGTCAGACTGAAGAATGTCTTTACCAGCTGTATTAGAGAAGAATCTTTGTAAATCTCCATTCATAAATCTTGTTTCTTATTTCATTTTTTGCTCTGAATCTTTCACCTAGTCAATAACTGCAGCCCCTATATTTTTTATTTGTTTTTTAATAAATATAGCTCCCCTTTTAGCATTCTTTCCAGAGTTTGACCTCAGACCAAAGTCTTCTCTTGTATTAATTCTGGAAATAAGGTGATTGAACCACTCTTCATCTATGTGTTAAACTGCTGTAGTTCTGCTTTTTTGGGTGGAGTACAGGAGGGAGCGTACCCAAGCACTTCGAGTTGCAGGAGCTGGTATTTGGAGGCACAAAGAAAGGATCTGGAGCACTGGTTCGGTCTGCCAGTTCCCTGACTGATGCTGGACTGGCTTCTGTTGGTGTTGCTGGAGGTCTAAGAGGGGATTTGGTAGGATGTTAGAGGCTAGCACAGCTGTTTCTAAGCCTTTTCTCAAGATGAAGAAGATACCTGTCTGGGGAAACAACAGTTGCAGCAGATACTGCTAGCCATGAGAGGGGATGTCTTGTAAAGGAAAATGGGTAACATGGATGGGAAGTGGAAAGGTGCTGGTGGTTTTATCTGGTGGAGAAAGGAGACCAAATAGAAGGAGGGTAGAAATGCTGCTCTTGCTGTGGTACTGTGAATGGCTGCGTGTGGGGAGGGTGGCATCTTATCTGAGCAGGGAGGATTTTGTGGCAGCAGAAACGTGAGATGGAGGGCTGAGCGATCTGAGTGATGGTTGGATGGTAAATTGCACAGAGAACAAAAAGCATGTGGATGCTGTCTGGCTAGGCAGACATCAAAAATGCTTGGACTCACTAAGTAGGAGGATAGTGGGATCAGCTAAAGGGATGTGAAGAATTTTAATGAAAAATAGATATAAAGTTATAACGAAACATGTAATGTTCAAAGTTCTTTCTTGCATTCCCCTCAGATGAAATAAGGGGAACGTGGCTGCTTTTTTTTTTTTTGTATAATCTTTGTGTTTACTTATTGTTCCTGATTTATCTCAAATCATGTACAATGATCAGAGTTGATACCCTCAAGTGGTTTTATGAGTTAGCCAAAGGATTACTAGCCCTTTCTTTCTTAAGCCTATCATCAGAGCAGTCTTCAGGAGCAGACAGAAGGGAAGAGCAAGGGCTGTGGAACAGCACATGGGTTGGCGAGAAGAGCACCACAGCCTTGAGGCCTGGGTCTTGAGCAGGCAGAGAAAATACCACAGTGTGTGGTTGGGCTACAGGAAGGGGATGTGAGGGTGAGCAGAGGGTAGAAAGCTGGGTTGGCCGCCCGCAGGGCTCTCCTGCGGGTGCCCCAGATGCAGGAGCGGGGCCTGCTCTCGTCCCAAGAGCAGTGCAGCTGCAGAGCACATCTGGGAGAGGGCTCTTGGCACTTGTATTCAGGCCTCAATTGCAAACCTGTCAATTCAGGGCATCAATCACACTTCTAGTCTTTGCACTATGTAATGTTTTCTTTTTCTTTTTTCTTTTTTAAGACTGCATTAGTGTTTCTGATGAAGGAGGGGAAGACCTTGATAAAATTCAGGTGGCTCTGCTGCTATTTATGTGGGAGCAGCCTCACAGAAGGGCTGTTTTAAGCAGTGACTTTATAAGAATGCTCCATGTCGATGAGCAGTAATGATCAAATCTGTAAGCATTTGGATAACCTTACCAGTGATGGAGCCTCCATTTTACACATCTACTTTCCAAATTCTCAGTCTGGTGGGAGCTCACATTATATTTAATAGCAACCGTTTTTTGCCACTGCATCTGAATGGGTTGGAATCATGCTTAAAATGATTGATAGTTTTTAAGCTTACATGCCGTTGTTGTAAACATCCTTTTCATTTTGAAATTAATGAGAAACTCAAAATAGTCCCCAATTTTCTCACACTCAGTTGCACTCTTTCCCAACTTCCTGATTGGTTTCAAGGAGAAGTCATGCTCTTCCTTTTTCATTTGCTCAGCTTGTCTGTGCTCCCCTTGCTGCTGATCTCCCTGCTCCCAGGCAGACCCGTTCCAGCTCGGTGATGAGTGCCAGTCACGACAGCGGAACAAGCCAAAAGTAGTAAACTTATGATGAAAAGCTTGCAAACTTGGAAGTGCTTAGGTGCCAGGGTTTTAAACTCATTGCAACTTTATTAATGACACCCTGGGGGAAGAATCTTTTAATAGTAAACATATCCAAATGGTTTTGAGCTAAAAAAGCTGGTTTTACTTTGTTTTGGTTGCATGAGTACTACACCATTATCAAGAGATGATTTAGAGCAATAGCAGTGAAGTCTTAGCTTGGATCTTGTTGAACTGAAGGCTCTCCTCCACTGAAAATGTTTTTCCAGCCCCCCCCCCCCCCCCCCCCCCATGGCATTTTTTGGTTTAAAAAGAGCAACGTGTTAAACAGCATTCATTGAGTTTGGTGAATAATCAAATATAATTTCTTTTTTTTTTTTTTTTCTTGAAACACGCACTCCTGCTCTGCTTTTGAAATGCTACGTGTGGCAGTCTGCTGTGAGTATTATTCTTCTCTCTGGTAGCTTCTACATGAAAACTCTTTTCCCCGAGAAAATGGAATCTTTGTGTCTTTGTCTCCTCGCTAGCTTTCAGGCATGTTTTGGCAGGAGCTCTGACTGTCGAGGCACTAGAGAGGAGGGGCCTTGTAGTCATTTGTCAGCTTTTCTTGCATCTGTAATTTTTTGTCAACTCAGCAGTACTGGAGGGGCTAAAAAAGGGGGGAGAGCTCGTAGTTGTCGAAAGTCGAACTCTTGAAATAATTGCCAGACTGTAACAGTTCAGGGAAGGTGTATGTGTGGGGACAAACTACCAGTGTTTCAGCTAAAAAAGATACAGTGTTCAGGTTTTAGAAAATCTCCATTTCACGCAATGGCACGTCATGGATCTCTACAGGCAATTTTACTCTGTTTGTAGACTTGTTTACTGTGTTGATAAACTGGCTTTTTAATGGTGAAGAAAATACTTCACTGGTGTTCAAGACCTGGTTCTTTCCAACCAACAGATTAATTAAAACATTTTGTCTTTAACTTTGGTCCTAATCCTCTGCTGCTATCTTCCTTCACAGGCCATGCACTTTCATCTCCTTGTGTAATGTAATTAAACATAAATTAGTTAATTTTTTTATTAGAAGATGGATCCCTTCATATTAAAGAAAGCATTTTTCCTCCTTAGCTTTTTATGGAATATTAATGTTGATCTCTCCTCCTCATTTCAGTAGGCTATTTAAGCTCAGGGCTCATACTGTGAGCTGTTAATTAATCAGTGTGACAGATGAAGAAAGTATCCAACTATGAAAGAAAACCTTACTTCAGTGACTAACAATAAGGATGTGAGCCCGAGTGATTTAAAGGATTTTTTTTTTGTGT